ATCAGGGAAATGCAAATCAAAACTACCATGAGATACCATCTCACACCAGTGAGAATGGCATATATTAAAAAAACTAGCAACAACAAATGTTGGCGAGGGTGTGGAGAAAAAGGAACTCTTCTGCACTGTTGGTGGGAGTGCAAACTGGTCCAACCACTATGGAGAGCTGTGTGGAGATTTCTGGACCTACTAAACATAGAGCTTCCATATGATCCAGCAATTCCACTCCTAGGTATTTACCCAAAGGACACAGAAACATCAACTCCAAAGAACACCTGCACCCCTATGTTTATAGCAGCACTGTTTACAATAGCTAAGCTTTGGAAACAGCCCAAATGCCCAAAAATAGATGACTGGATCAAGAAGATGTGGTACATATATACCATGGAATATTACTCAGCATTCAAAAAAGATAAACACATGCAATTTGCAGCAACATGGATGGCGCTGGAAGGGATCATGCTCAGCGAAATAAGCCAAAAAGAAAAAGAAAAATACCGGATGGTCTCACTCACAGCAGGAATCTAGAAAACTTAAATAAGGGACCAGGAAAATGAATATAAGAAAGTGAAAATCAAAATCAGCAAAAAACTATGAACCAGAGACACTTTTTGGGGGTGGGGGGCGGGAGGGGAAGGATTGGGGTCAGAATGGGGCGTTTGCATTTGTATGGGGGAATATAAAAATAAAATTTATTATTTAAAAAAAATAAATAAAAATAAAAACAAAATAAAATAAAATAAAATTATTAAATTAAAAAAATATTTTCTTTGTGGAGATGTACAGGATTTACTTATTCATTCTTCTTTTGATGGACATTGGATTGTTCTTAGTATTGCATCATTGTAAGCAGTGCTTGCACATGCCTCTTGGTGCATATGTCAAGAGCACTTTGGGGCCTCCCTGGTGGTGAAGGGGTCAAAGTCTCAGCACTATCAAGCTATTGCCAGCCACTGCAGCACCATTTCAATTCCCGACCAGAGAGGTAACCCACATGGCACAGCAGATCTCTCCTGTCTCGCCTGCTATTCCCGTCAGCAGTGTATTTCAGTAGGTCTGCTCTTCTGTTCCCCACTCTGTCTCTGGTGAATCCTCTCACCCACCCCTGCACCTCTGACCTACACCCCAGTTCTTGTATGCATAAATAAACAAATCTTTAAAAAAAAATTGTGTCTTGGAGGTGAAATCTTTGGCTATAAAGCATACAAGTTCTTAACTTTGGAGGCATTGGCCAATGGCTGCCTCAGTTTACACTCCCAGCTCTGTGGATGATGCTTTTGTTCCACATGACTTCAACTGGGGTGGCTCCCTGGGACTCAGCTATTGGCTTGACTGACACAGAACCTTCACGGTGACTCCATCATGTCAGCTGGGCTGTGCGGTCTCAGAACCTCTTTGCTGGGATTTAGACATTTTACACAGTGACTCGGGGCTATGGGAGCAAGTGCTCCCAAAGTCCCAGGTGGACTCTTTAAGACTCTTTATGGTGTAGGCTTGGCCATCCCATGTCATCGCACAGTCTCCTGGTCAAGCAATTCACTAAGGCCAGCCTGGATCAAAAGAAGTGATTATTTTCTAGGCATCTTGGACGTCCTGTGACCTCATTTTTTTTACCTTGTTAAACAATTTCAGCTTTTTGTGTGGATGCATTGGATGATGATGTTTACTTTTGTCTAATAGTTGTAAGAAGCTAGATCTCAGAGTTGATCAACCTGTGGTCATTTCCCAAGTACATGTGGGCCCTTTCATGATGTAAGTTTGTATGTCCTTATTTCCAGAAAGTTTCCTGGATTATAGGCTCACCACTTGTGGACCTTCAACTACATCCATGTTGGACATTCTTGGCTTATATTCACATGACATTCCAAACACAGAGCTAAAGGAGCACGGAGGTAAGGAGGCAAGGCACGGTAGTCACTTCCTGGGAGTCTGGCTGGGGCGTGTGTAGGAGGTGACACCGGATGGCGTGGAAAGGTAGGCAGGGACTAGAGTAATGGAAAGGCTGGAATGTCATGGTAAGTGGGACACCTAAGGCAGCAAATTTTGGGAAGAGTTTTTTTCTGACATCAGTATGGAATATGGACTGGAAGGAATAAGTCTATAGCAGGGAGACAAGATAAGCAATTATATTGCATCTGTCTATGTGAAAGGGGCAAAATGGGACAGATTCTAGAGTTATATAAAGAAGAATGAAGGGCACTTAGTGACTGTTGGATGTGGTAGGTAGCAGAGAAAGGAATGAAAGCTGACCCCTGAGTTTCTGAGTTGGGTGGTTTTAGACGTGGAGAGTTGGAGGTGTCTCTGGGACATCTAGCTGGAGGAGTCTGGTGGGTTTTTGTGTATAGGGATGGAAGATGAATAGTCTGAGCTAGATGATGCACCTGGGAGTTGCGATCTATGTGGTAGTTGCGATCTATGAAGACAGGGCAGATGAGATGGCTCAGGGGGAATGTGTGGGGTGAGATGAAAGCTGAGCACAGAGCCCTGGTGACTGAGGCGCCTCACTCATCAGAGGGGAAGGATATGAGTCATGTAGAGAAGGCCCAGGGAGTTGCAGAGTGGAGTGCTCTGTGCTATCAAATGCACTGGATGCAAAAATGGCCTGTGGCATTTAGGATCAAACAAACCATAAATAATGAGCAGTGGGGCAATGTGGTGGGGGTGGGGTGGGGGACAAGAGCACATAACCATGGGGGGAGGAGGGAGAAACTGATGAGGAGACAGATGAGTGCAGATTATTTCTGAGATGTTTGTGATGTTGTGATGGAAAATACAGAGTAGTAACTAGAGGGGTTTCTTCCTTTTTTTTTTTTTTTTTTTTTTTTTTTTTTTTTAGGACAAGGAAGTTTTGGGCATGAATGGATGGGGAAGGAAAAGGACAAGCAGGGAAAAAGTTGTTACGCTTGGGAGTGAGAGGGGAGAAAGATATTGCAATATGTTTGAAAAAATGTCTTCTGAGCATGTGGGAGGGGATGCTGAAACATAAAACAGATAAGAAATGCTAATCTGAGCGCACTAAGAGTAGTTAATTCCCAGAATGTTTTATAATCGTCTAGCCCACATATTGATATTACCTGTGTTCAATCAATAGGGCAAATATATTGAGAAGTATTTACATATTTATTTTATATCATTTACACTTCCTTTTTTTAAAAAAGATTTTATTTTTATTTATTTATACAAGCACTGGGTACAGTCAGAAGCGCAGGAGGGTGAGAGAATTCACCAGAGCCAGAGTGGGGAGCAGAACAGGCAGACTGATGAAATACACTGCTGAGGGGAGCAGCTGGTGGCAGGAGAGGTCTGCGTGCCATGTGGGACCCTCACAGGTGGCCGGGGATCAAACCGGTGCTGCAGAAGCTGTGGGCAGCTTTGCAACCCAGCGCTCAACCACTGAGCCACCAGGGGAGGCCTTACACATCTTTTCTCCAAAGGAAAGGGTCAATGTTTTACCCTTTCAATGCCTGCCATGGAACTGGTGCTTAGTAAGTGGTAAGTGATAAACAAGACATCTCTTATTTAGCGCATAATCAAGACCTTGTACACACGTAAAAAAACTTTCTAAGCATGCAAAATAGCCACAAAATTCTTGGGTGAAAGGTGATGCCCTTTTGGGGGAGGGACCTGTTTAGGTTCATTTAACAGTCAGTTATCAGCACTTCTTTCACCACAGGAGACTAAAAATAGGAAGGTGAGGGAGGAAGAGGGTGTCCTAAAGGCAGGCAGGCAGCATCAGCAGGAGGTGTGCGATCTGCCTTCCCCATAAGGTGCCAAAAAGCAGTAAAAAAAGCCAGACTCAAACCAGATCTCTTAGGAACTTAATTCCCTCATTCACTTTCCAATGGTCCTTAAAGGACACTGTTGTTTTGAGCCTTAAATAATATTGAGAAAAATGATCCTTGGCATCATTAAGAACAAAGCTTAACTGTTTCTAGGTGGGCATCATCTCCGAAAGGATGTTATGGAAAATGGATATTAAATCAAAAAGTTGAGGCTGAGATGGTCTAGCTGGCCACCCTCTGTTGCTTCGCCGAGCTGTCCACCAGCCTTGGACACCCTCCCCCTGTCTCCCTGGACTTCTTTCTTTTTCTTCCTCGGAGGCTGAACGCACATGGCACCTCTTCCAGGAACCCCCGCGACGTCCAGGCGGAAGCAACCTCCTCCTCCGCGGCGCCCCGCGCATCCCCCGCGGGCTGGCCCTGCACGGGTCACCAGGCCGGGCTGTTTGCACGGCCGCTTTCCCCTAAGGTATGCGCTCCTCGAGCTCGGGGCCCATGACCGCGCCAGCGTAGCCACACAGCGCCCGGGACGGCGCGCGGTGACCGCCTGCCGAGCAGAATGAACGTGGAAAAATCACTGCGGGCAGAGCCTGGGCGCGAGGTGGGCAGAGCTTCACGGAGGGGGGCGGGTCGGTGCCTCCTTCCCCTCGCATTCACGTCGGGCCGAGCACCAGCCGGCGCGGCTCGCACCTGCGTGGCGAAATGCACCTCCGCCGCCTGCCACTCGGGGTGCAGGAGGCGTCTCCAGGGGGCCAGTGTCCCCCAGTGCCCGACACCGCGCGGGCGACCTGGGGCGCGGGGGGCGGGGCTGGAGGGGAACTTGGCCCGCGCGCCCGGCCCCGCCCCGCCCGGCGGAAGCCCCGCCCCGCGCTCGTGCTGGCGGCGCGCGCCCCCGCCCGTCCGCGCCCCCGCCCGCGCCCCGGCCCGCCTGCGCCCCCGCCCGTCCGCGCCCCCGGCCCGCGCCCCGCGCCCCCGCCCGTCCGCGCGCCCCCGTCCGCGCGCCCCCGCGCCCTCGCGCCCCGCGCCCCCGCGCCCCGCGCCCCGCGCCCCCGCCACCCCGCGCCCCCGCGCCCCGCGTCCTCGCGCCCCCGCGCCGGGGGCGGGCTCCTGCGCGTGCCGGGCGGGGAGGCGGCGCGAGCCGGCGCCGGGGAACGTTGGCCGCGGGGGCGGCTCGGGCCTGGGCGGTCGCCGCGGCGGGTGCTCGCGGCCGGGCGGGAGGCGGCGGCGCAGCTGCGGCCGCGGAGACCTTCTCCTCGCCTGCGGCGCCGGCCGGGAAGTGAGTAAGCGCGGGATCGGCGGGCCGCGGGTCGGGGAGCCGCGCGGGCTGGAGCGGGCGCCCGCGGGGGCGGGAAGGGGTCCCTGCAGCGCCGGGCCCCCCGGAGCCCGCGGGGTGCGGGGTCGGGAGCCGCGGAGACGGCGCGCGGGGAGAGCCGGGGTCCCCGACCGTGCGCGCGGCGAGGGCCGACGGCGCCGCCCGCCCGGCCCTGGAGGGGCGAGCGAGGGGCTGGAGGGGCCCGGGGCGGGGCGGGTCTCCGGGGTCCCCCGAGCGCCCCGTGGCCGCGCGCGCCGAGCGGGTGCAGGCGCCGAGCTGATGCTGCCCCAGCCCGGCTCGCGGGGAGGAGGCGCCGCGTTAGGTGCTGAAGGGGGCGAGGAAGGCAGGTCCTGGCAGAGGGCAGGTGAGGCGGGCAGGCCCTGGCAGAGGGAAGGCAGGCGCCCCCAAACACCATTTCCCCGGGCGCCTAACCGTGCACCGGTGCGTCGAGGTCACCCGTGAAGGGAAAGTGCCCCGCGAGGAGGGGATGCGGCTCGCGAGTGCTCGCCCTGGAATTCCCGTGCCGGGCAGGCCTCGGGAGGAGCAGGACCTGCCGGCATCCTCCGCAGACGGGGACTGACGGGCCACCTGGGCGGAGAGCCGCGGTCGCCGGGGGCTGCGGGAGCGGGTGGTCCACGGCCGGGCGCGCAGGCTGTCCAGGTGCTGTCCCTCTGGGCGTGAAGAACGTGTGCGTCCAGCTGGATTGCAGTTTGTTTCATATCTGATTTATTCACTGTAGAGCTTTCCTTTTCCCAGTTTTGGGGAATTGGAGCCATACATTGCTTGGGTGGGAATAAAGCAGAGGGTCAAAGCAGCCTGCGGGAGAAATTTGGGAGAGTTTTGAAGATTCTTCGGAACATTTTAAGGGGGGGGGGAAGGAAACACCAACTTGGGAAGTGAAAAGAAGTTCCTTTCCATCCAACTAGAATTAAACTGCTGACTGGTAACTGCTAAACCCTCAGTGGCAAGAACCGCGCCTGACCCCCTGCAGGGGTGCCACACCGTCTATCTCGTGAAGGAAGGAGGGAAGCAAGGTGTGGGAGGGATGGGAGTGGACTGTCCCTGTGCCTGAAGGCCTCCCTGTTGGCCGTGTGAGGTACCCTAGGCACTTAGGTCTGGGCATCGAGAGCAGTGGCCGAGGTGGGTGGCCACGCTGCCCCTTTCACTTCTGAGTTGCCTCTTGGGGGTCAGGGGCATCCTCCTCGGGCAGTTGCTGCAAATCGACCCATTTCTGGCCCGTCTCTTTCCTCTCACCTGAGGAAGGAGAGTACTTTTGGTCTAAAGAAATTTGTATCCTGCCCAACTTTGGATCTTAGATCTGCAGTGAGATGTGTCCCTGTGCTGGATTCTACCTGTTCTCTGCGGTGGTTAGATTTCTGCTCTGCAGCTCCGGGCGCTGGTTCAGTCCCCCGGGTGGCAGTGCCTGTTGGGTTACTTTGTCTGCCAAAGTAAAACTTGACCTTTTATGAGTTGTATGAGGATTTTTATCATACATAAGTGGAATTACTTTGAATGGGGGTTTTCGAGTGTCCACTGTGCATGAGAGACACTTTGTACTTAGAACCGATGAAGTGCCAAGTTAACATATTTTATGTCTCTACAATAAATCTCTTGGGGCCTTCATTTCCTCAGATAGAAAATAATGCAAATATGACATTATGTAAAGCCTTGAAGAATTTCTCTTTAGTTTTAGGACGACTTCCTTGTGCAACTAGAGGATATTTACTATTTCTTGTTTTGGGGTGAGTCCGTAATTTTGGATGCCTTGTTCCAGGTTCTCCCACTGATGTGGTATTTTGTTATTTATATATTTAATTTATATTTACTTTCAAATCATCTTTTTTAAAATCATTTTTATTAGTATATAGTTTACCTGTATTAAAATACACAGAAACTCACCCAATTGTACACTTGACAGCTATGTGTAGACTATATATGTATATATACATATATATGTGTGTATATACACACACACAAACACACACACACACAGTACCTGTAACCACTATCCTGGTCAGGATAGTGAAATTTACATCATCCCAGAAAGTTTCCTCATGTTGGTTTGTAGTCAGTCCCACCCCCTCTCATTTATTTATTTATCCAGCCATTTATTTATTTATTTATTTGATAGAGGCATGTTTTATTTATTTATTTGTTTGTTTGTTTTGTTTATACATGCACTGGGTACAGTCAGAAGCGCGGGAGGGTGAGAGAATTCACCAGAGCCAGAGCGGGGGGCAGAGCAGGCAGAAGGACCGAAGTACACTGCTGAGGGGAGCAGCGGGCGGCAGGAGAGGTCTGCGCGCCATGTGGGACCCTCCTCCGCTGGCCGGGGAGCAGCCGGGGATCGAACTGGCGCTGCAGAGGCCGCGGGCAGCTTCGCAACCCAGCGCTCAACCGCTGCGCCACCGGGGAGGCCCTCATCTTATTTATTTTTAATTATGCTGTGTTGTCTACTTTTGTAGGATGTATACTGCCCAGCGTTAGTGGGTGCCATTCAAATGGGAGCCATTGCGAATGGCAGCAGCTGGGGTTGTGTCACCCACATTCCATATGCCTGTGCTCTGCAGGTGATTCAGGACTGCAAGTGCCCCTGTGACATACCAGACAGTATAGACAGAAAATGTCCCCTGAGTCCTCCCCTTCTTCACCAAAACTGCTGTTATCAGTTTGTTGTGATCCTTCCAGACTTTTCTCAATGCATTGTGCTCTACATATAGGTAATAAACAAAAAATCAGAGTTCTTCTCCCCCGTCACTCCATTAGTGACATGACACTATACACATGGTTCTGTATCTTGTTCTAATGGAATATTTGAGCTCTTTCTGTGTTGGAACACAGGGCGCTACTTGATTTCTTTGTGGGTAGGGCACAGTCTCTTAGGTGGTATGTTACACTGTATTATAGTGTAATACACTATAATAATACCATTTAAACTGTCTGCTCTTTCAGATGTTGTTGCAGTGAATAGGAAATAGAATATGGAATAATTGCATTAAGGGGTACATATTTAAAGTTTGAATTGATGGGGATTTAACCATGTTGCTACTGGAGATCTGGCTCATTTATTTCAGTTGTAGACATAAATCCCTGTTTATGATACTCTCTGTACTGAGGGACACTTAGTTAACTTCCATACTAATTCTTTGAAGGATAGATGTGTTGCAAATGCCTCCTGCCAGTCTCAGGTTTTTCTTTTTCCTTTGTTAACAGTGTCTTTAGTTGCGTACAAATTTTAAAAGTTAATGTTATATTTATGAAAAATTTTCCTTTAAGTTAAGATACTTTGTGTTTAGTGTAAGTGAAATTTCTCTACCCCAGGGAATGAATTATATATTACTGCATTTGTTCTAAAACGAAAATGAGTTTCGCTTTGCATGTGGAATTTCCATATGAAATCTTTCTATTTTCAGTTGGATAGTGAATTCCTCAATACTTTTTCTCATGTTTTTTTGGGGGGCAAAATATATGTACAATTCAGGGGCATTGAGTGCATTTATATTGCTGTGCAATTATCACCACCCTTCATCTCCAGAACGTTTTCATCTTCCCCAGTGAAACTCTGTGCCCATTAACAAATCTCTTTTCCTCCAGCCCCTGGCAAGCACCATTCCACTTTCTCTATGAATTTGGCTACTCTAGAGACCTCCTATAAGGGGAAAGATGCAATATTTGTCCTTTCCTATCTGGCTTATTTCACTTAGTATAATGCCTTTAAAGTTCATCTCTATGTGTTAAAAATCTTGAACAAAAAAAGATGAATACAACTGTGACCAAAATGGGCGAATAGCACAAGTTCTAGTGTACTCCCTCTTCACCTTTTATTAACATCTTGCATTAGTCGGGTGCATTTATTGCTGCTGATAAACCATTTGCTGAGTGCACAATGTCAAGCATCCTTAGTGTGATCACAGGATATGGCATCTGATGTCAGTGGACTATCATATGGAATAATTGCATTGCCCCCAAATCCTGTTTCACCTGTTCATTTCTTCTTCCCTCTTCCTGAGCTCTAGTAGCAAATCATCATTTTGCTATGTTTCTAGCTTTGCTTTTTCTACAATATCATATGATTGGGACCATACAGTTTTGTATCACTGAATCATGAGTATTCCATTGTATGAAAAAAACCACAATTTGCTTATTCTTTCACCTATTGAAGGACGTCTCAGTTTTTCCCAGATTTTGCCAATTAGGAATAAAGCTTCCATAAATACTCTTATTTTTTGTATGGACATAAGTTTTCAGCTCTCTTGTTTAAGTGGTTGTTGGATGTTATGGTTAAGAGCTGCATTTAGCATTATAAGAAATTGCCTGTCTTCCAAAGTGTTTATAATATTTTGCATTCTCAGTAATTTAAAAAAATTTATATCCTAGGACACTATATGTTCCTAAAAAATAAGTCTGCTTCAAATAGTTCTGTAAAATTAAACTTCATCTGGAATGATTTCTGTTACCTTTGTTGGTTGTCTTTTTTGTCATTGTATGTCTTAATGTGTTCTGAAATTTAATTTACAAACTCATTTGAGTGTGAGTGTTCATGATTTTGTATTTATCTCTGTGCTCACCCTTCTCTGTGGTGATATTTCCAGGTACTTCCATTGACCGACTGCTTCCTAGTCAAGAATCAGGTATTAGAGTGGGTCAAGTCTCCTGTTCTTTCAGGTAATTAAGACTATTTTAGATCTCTTAAAAGATTATGTGAATATCTTGATTCAGTAGGAACTGTGTTTTTATCACTTTTATAAGCCCAGAACATTATATAAATCATAGTTCTAGACAGACTGGCAGCAGTATTTTTTAGCTTCCTTTCAGCTCCAGACTCATCCTTGGCTTTTAACAGTGAGTCTGGCTCAGATACCTTCTGTTTCTCCACCTCCTACGCACCACTGTTGCCCTACAGGAAAGCTACACCTGCTTCTGCAGGCAGAGTCTAGCAAGCCTGAACCCTCAGTCCTGCTCACAGTTGTGTGTATTTGTTCTGTTTCTGACTCAAATGGGATGTGTCTAAGTTTTGATCCTATTACTATATATTTGGAGGGAGGAGGCATTAAAGTGTCTACTTACTGGGCTACTTTCACTACCAGATTTAATTGACCAGGCCCTGTTTTGACTTTATACCGCTTCTTTTCTTTGTTATTCAGCTTATGTTGATAACAGAGGTCATAATGGGCATTTTATCTTTTGCTCGAATGGGAATACTGTCCCTGTTTCATATATGATGCTTACAAAATTCTGACTGCAGCATTGAGGTGACCAGAGGGCATGGGTGGGACTGGGGGGAATGGGGACAAGGGGCCCCATGGACTATGGTTTTTGTCAATTTAAGGAAGTTTTCTTCTGTCCAATGTATTTTTATTGGGTGTTGACTTTTATTGAGGCTTTTTTTTTGGCATTTGTTGACTCTACCAATTTTTTAAAAAAATACATTAAGGACAGGAAAGATTTTTCTGAATTGTAGACAACTGAAAGAAGCAGATATATGGGATATGATATACTTGTTAGTGTATTTTTAACCAAAAAAATGAATCTTTAGGAAAGACATTTTGCAAACCCATACTTACATCGACCGTTAATATATCACAAAAGAGCCAAGAGCATACAGCGGAGAAAGGAAAGTTTTTACAGCAAATGTTGCTGGGAGAACTGAGCAGTCACACACCGAAGAATGAAACTAGACCACTATTGCATACCTCAAAAATCAACTCAAGATGGATTAAAGACTTGGATGTAAGACCTGAAACCATAAGACACATAGAAGAAAACAGACAAAGCACTCTACAACATTGGCTTCAGGGATGTCTTTGGAGACTCACCTCCAGTGACAAGAGAAACAAAAGCAAACATAGACAAATATGACTACACAGGCAAGAAAATATGGTGAAATGAAAAGGCACCCTTACTGAGTGGGAGAAAATATGTGGGTACATCATCTGTTTGACAAAGGCCTAATATCCATGATCTGCAAAGAACTTCATAGACCTCAACAAAAAGGAAAAACAAATAGCCCAGTAAAAAAAAAAATGGGCCAAACAGCTAAATGGACACTTCTCCAAAGAAAACATACAGGTGCTAACAGGCACCTGAAAAAATGCTCATCAGCACTTCTCAGGGAAATGTAAATCCAAACCATAGTGAGATACCAGCTCACACTGGAGAGAATGATCCATAGAAAAAAGACAAGAAACAACAAGTGTTGATATGGGAGAAGGAGCCCTTTCACCCTGTCGCTTGGAACGTCCAGCCCCTGTGGAGAACAGTATGGAGGTTTCTCAAAATATGAAAAATAGATCTGCCATATGATTTAGCAGTTTCACTCTAGATATCCGTCCAAATAATAATAATAATAATAGGGCCTCCCCGGTGGCGCAGCTGTTGAGCGCTGGGTTGAGAAGCTGCCCGCGGCTTCTGTGGCGCCGGTTCGATCCCCGGCTGCTCCCCGCCCACCGGAGGAGGGTCCCACATGGCGCACAGACCTCTCCTGCCGCCCGCTGCTCCCCTCAGCAGTGTACTTTGGTCCTTCTGCCTGCTCTGCTCCCCGCTCTGGCTCTGGTGAATTCTCTCACCCTCCCTTGCTTCTGACTGTACCCAGTGCATGTATAAACAAAACAAACAAACAAACCAGCAAACAAATAAATAAAGCATGCCTCTATAAAAAAAAAAAAAAAAAAAAAAAAAAATAATAATAATAATAACAAATTAGAAGGGATATATGCACTCCTATGTTCATTGCAGCCCAGTTTACAATAGCCAAGTTTTGGAGGCAATCTAAGTACCCAGTGACATGAGTAGATAAGGAAGATGTGGCATGTAGACATGATGGGATAGTACTCAGCTATTAAAAATAAGATGAAATCTTCTGGATCTTCTGTTTATGACGACGTGAACGGACCTTAAGGGGATGATGTTAAGTGAAATAAATCGAAGGAGAAAGACAAATACTGTGGGACAGTTTCGCTCATTTGTAGACTATAAAGAAATGTGACAAAGGAACAGACAAAATGAAACCAAAACAAAATTCTGACTGCAGCATTGAGGTGACCAGAGGGCATGGGTGGGACTGGGGAGGAGAGGGGACTAGGGGCCCAGTGGACTATGGTGGAGGATTATGGTGCGTGAGTGTAGGTGTGGTGTGTCAGCATACATCTGAAGAGGTGAGGTTCTCTGCCCCTAAAACATATACGGTGTTGTAAACTAATGGAACCTCGTTAAAAAAAAAGATACTATTAAAAGAAACACAAGTTATCTTAAATTTGTGTATATCAACACATTAAAATTGTGTATCTATTAACACATTATCTATAAGCTAAAACAGGACTGAAAGGCTGCAGCAATCCGGCTTGGACTAAATATTCTTATAACTTAGCCTCACTGTAGTCAAGTAGTACTCAGTAAGAAAAATGTTTTTGGTAACTTGTGAGACTCTATAAGGGTTTTTCCAGACCCTAAACCTTCCAACTTTTTCCTGGCTTTTCCTCTTTACTCCTTTCTTTTAACTTTTGTCTCTGCCTGCTTGCCTCCTCTTGCCAGAAAGAGACTTTTTTCTACAAGTAATAATAGCTGTTACTTGTTGTGAGTGTCCTGTGTGTCAAGGGATTTTCTTTCTTTTTTTTTTTTTTTAAAGATTTATTTATTTATGCATACAACAGCTGGGGTGCAGGCCAGAGGTGCGGGGGTGAGAGGATTCACCAGAGACAGAGTGGGGAGCAGAACAGGCAGACTGATAGAGATACACGGCTGAGACTTATCTCTTTGTGCCACCAGGAAGGCCCCCAAGGGATTTTCATAGAAAATGCGTATTCTTTAATCTTTATGACAATTTTGGAAGCTAGGAATGGCATCTCCAGTGTCTGGGTGAGGAAACTGAGCTCAGAGAAGTCACAACTTGTGTGGGGCCATGCAGCGAATCAGCGATGGGGGAGTATTTGTGGCCAGGTCAGACGTCAAAGCCCATGTTCTTTCCAAATGCCTTCTCGGCACGCCTGCTCCGTGTGGGTTTTGTCTTCTGGCTTACCTCTTTCGTTTCCAAGCGTGGTGATGGTCATAAGACTGCCTTGTGTTTCCAGTATGATTTCCTTGAGAGACTTTTTTCTTTAGTCAGGTACTTCTTTGCTTTTTAGCAGTCTGGTGGTTCGCATTTGAGAGAGTTCTTATTATGACTAACTGCACAAACAAAAATAGAATAAATAGTGTTGTGGTTAAGTATGTGGCTTTGGAGTAAACTATTTTGGTTGGATCTCGAGGAGGATATTTTTCTTTTAACTTCTTAAACATTATGAAATGTTGGCCCTCAAAAAGGTATAGGAAATAAAAATACTGAATACTTTGTGTAGGCACCGTTCAGCATAAGGAAGTGAGCTCCTTTTAAAGTTGAACCCCTATGAAACTCCATCCTGATTGTACGCTTCCTTTCTGAGGAAACCATTCTGATTCTCTTTTTCACTCCTGTACATATTTGTATACTTCTGTTACATATGTAGATAGCCCGACATGTATAATATTGTTTTGTATTTTAAATCATACTAACACTATCTTTTTATAGCATGCTCTCTCTCCATGTTAAGAGACTCATCCATGTGTAGCTCTGGCCCATTCATTTTCTTGACCGCATAGGATTCTGTGATTTGTCTGTGTCATAGTTTACTTTTTTTTTTTAAGATTTATTTATTTATTTATACAAGCACTGGGTACAGTCAGTTGGAAACGTGTGAGGGTGAGAGAATTCACCAGAGCCAGAGCAGGGAACAGAACAGGCAGACTGATGAAATACACTGCTGAGGGGAGCAGCGGGTGGCAGGAGAGGTCTGTGCGCCCTGTGGGACCCTCACCGGTGGCCAGGGATTAAACTGGTGCTGCAGAGGCTGTGGGCAGCTTCGCAGCCCAGTGCTCAACAGCTGTGCCACCAGGGGAGGCCCTCACAGTTTACTTTTATATTTTCCTGTAATTAGTTCTGATTTTTTGCTTTGCTATTACAAGTAATGATGCTGTGAGCTTTGAGTATTCTTGTTCTGTCTTCTTGTGCGCACATACTTGTTTCTTGCACCATGTACCTAGGAGTAAACCACACTTGTGTGCCAACTTGTTAGTGGATGTCACTAAACTGTTCTCAAAAGTGGTTTTGGGCCTCTCTGGTGGTGCAAGGGGTTAAGATGCAACTTATGAAGCTATCCCTTGCCACTGCATCACGAGTTTGAACCCTGGCTGGGGAGCTACCCATGTGGTGCAGCAGACCTCTCCTGTCTCGTCCGCTGCTCCCATCAGCAGTGTATTTTGGTCAGTCTGCCTGTTCTGTTCCCCACTCTGTCTCTGGTGAATCCTCTCACTGCCCCCCCACACCTCTGGCCTGTACCCCAGTTCTTGTATGCATAAATAAGCAAATCTTTAAAAAAAAAATAGCATGGTTTCACCAACTTACATTTGTAGTAGCCAAGCATGTGTGCCTTTTATTGGTCCCCTGCTATTTCAGGTGTTGGCTTTGCAAATCTGATGGGTGCAAATGTAATCTTATTTTGTTTTTTGATGTTTTTCTGATTACTAGAAAGCTTATACACTTATCCTTTTTTTTTTTTTTAATAGAGGCATGTTATTTATTTGTTTGTTTTGCTTTTTCTGTTTTTTGTTTATACACGCACTGGGTACAGTCAGAAGTGCAGGAGGGTGAGAGA